AAATGCCACTAATTCTCTGTTGGCACACCACGATAAGATGTGTACATTTTATTAGCAATGATCTTCATTCTTTTGGGAAGACAGCATCCTCTAAAGCTGTATCACATATCTAGCTTTTAAAAAGCTTTTGTTTCCAAATGCCCACACATTACATTGCCATAGAAAATGCTTAACGGTCATATATAAATGATGAATGACAGAGCTAAGTGAGGCTTGAGGGACAACTAGTACACTGAAAACAAAATGAAGTTCAAGGCCAAGAAGTTCAAGTCATGAGCAGATTCCCATGCACACCCTCTCTGGGGAACACAGCCAGCCCCTGCACACCCCAGGCGCCTCTCCAGGTTAAAAACTTGCTCTTCTCTCAAGCATTCCCTGGAAAAATTTCGGCCATAACCATATTTAGCCATTTTAGGGGAAGGGGGTGGTGGGTCAAAGACTAAAAGGAGGAGGAAAAAAAAAGAATGTATATATATTTAAGTAGTTAAGTTTATTCCCAACATATTTGTCTGGGAAAGACATGGTTTGAGGTCACATGAGAACAAAACAAAATAAAACCAAATACACTTTCCCTCCACTTGGGTGAGCAACTGGCTACTTCACTTAAATCTTAATCCAAACATCATCATGTAAACTCCAGACAGTTGTCACATCGTGGAAGTCTTAGTGGCTATAAGACCACTGCTATTAGGAGACGGGGCCATGCTAATCATTGCAAGTTACAGCTGTCTTGTGTGTGTGTGGTTTTCTTTCTTTTTCTTTTTTTTTAAAGCGGGTGTCCTTCATCAAGATAACATAAATTTACTGACAAAAGGAAATTTACAAGCAGCCCAGAGGGAAGTAGGAGGTAACTGTAAGTGGCCCAGGCTGCAACAGGCTAAACATAGTGTGGCATGCACAAGACAAAGTCCCGGGCCTTGGAGGCCAAGATGGGTTTCCAGCTCCAGACCAGCTGCTCCCAGTCAGAAAAGCCCAGGCAGGGCCCAGGGTAAGCCTCTGTGTGGACCCGACCTTCTGGAAAAGCCAGAGAAGGCTGAGAAGCGTGTGAGCTATGAAAACAAGAAGCAAAGAGGAAAGGACGCAGGCTTGGTTAAAAATAAAACTTATCAGATGAGAATTTAAGTACTGAGAATGTTATCTCTCCCCACAGGAGGGTGGAAAAAAAAAATAGGCATGTCAAGGAGAGCACAGCCACAGGATGAATAAGCATAAAAATAGGAGGAAATGACTAAGCAAACGTGCCAAACGTGCAGGAGTAGGGCCTTCCTTCCAGGAGCTGGCTTTCCAGGATTGCTAGCCACTGCTGTGAGGCTGAACTCCCTGGAGAGCTGTAAGAAACTGGCAGTGACACTGTTTCTGAGGGAAAGAGATGTTTTTCTTTCCTATGTATCTTTTCAGACTGATTGCATTTTTCCCATGTTACATGTATTAAGTTAAATTTTCAAAAAGAGAAACGTCTACAGAAAAGTTCTGGGCAAATGCTTACTTCCCAGCACTTTGTGGCAGGTAATCTGGTTCCCAGGAAAAATTTCAGAATCCAGGTAGTTGGTGAATATTTAAGCACCCCCTCCTTGTACTGCTCCCGCATGGGTGCCTGACCTAGCCCCAAAGAGGCATAAACGGGACTTACTCCCAAAGCTGCCTTCAAAATGTATGAACCACACTCAAACCCTCACAAGTCCAATTTTTCCAGGAGTCTTCAAACGACAAATGTTCCTTCTACTTAGTCTCGAGTTGCTTTTTACTTCTACATATACCAGGCATCAGTCATGAGGGACAAGCTGGTTTCCCTCAAGAAATAGACACAAAACAAAGACTAAATTAGTTCTTAATGACTTATCAAATTAGTTTTTAATGACTAGTCTTTAATAAAATTAGTTTATTAAATTAGTTTTTAATGATTTGTCCACTGCTAAAATAATTTCTCCTGACTTGTCTTAAATCTGTTTGGCCAGTAAGGCACAACAGCCATTCCTTAACTGAGAGAATTTTTTTTTTAATGGCCTTTATAAATTTTCTGGGGAATTTTGGCACTCAGAAACCTAAGCAGCATCTCTTTCCAGAAAAGTTGACTTCCCTAATGTTAAACTCAAAGAGCAATTAAGCGAGAAAGAAATTGGGTCCTTTGTCAACACTTGCAGTGTTTCACATTATTTAAGGAAGACAAAAAGTTGTGTATTTCAAAGAAATTATGATGATATCATTTGTAGTCCACCTTGAAAAGGTTAAACAGAGGTAGCCCAAATGCCTCTGAGAATTAAGTGTTCGTAAATCTCCAGTTACTCAGAGGTGACAAAGGCACTCTACTCCTTTACTAGATGGCAAATCCTCAGACACGTCAACTTTGCCTCAAGTCCAAGGTGGAAATTAGGTGTGTCCGAAAGAATGTTTCCTTTCCTCTTCCTAGAGCATATCTGACATAGGAAGTTCAGAGTGGCAGCCTACATACAGATGGCCTAACTGTCCCAGTGCTGTGGCCTCCAAGATGTACCCAAGAAACTCCAATGTTTTCCATTCTGAATGGTCATTGTACTCTGATACAGGTGACAGTACACCCCAAATAGCTCATGCCCAGAATTAGCCCAAGAGGGGTAGCCCAATGTTGGATGCAATCCAAAGTTCACCCTTGATTCTATGAGGCTTACAGGAAGATTCCACTTCAAAGTCAAGAGAAAATTCAACTATGAAGCGGGTATTTTTTGGTTCTGTGATTTTTTTTTATTGAATAACTAGTATTCCTTTAGGATGCTGGGTATGAAATTCTTAATAATATTATGTAAACATATTAAGCAGCAGCATTCATAGCTCTGCCTCTCGCAACTTCACTCACTCCTTCTGTTATTTGGCACATGCTCTGCAGGAAGGAGATACCAGCGACAACAAATGCCCAGGAGCTGGAAGTCTTGAGTCAAATCCTGGTGTGATATTCCATTGCTATGTAACCTTGGACAAACCACCTGAGCACTGTGTTTCCTTAGCTGTGAAAGAGGAAGAGCTGTCACCCAGTGGTCACAAAGAATAAACATGCAAGAGCACGTAGCACAGGCCCCAGTTGATAGGTATTCTCTGAATACTGGGCCAATGTACCCATTGTTCTCAGCTTCAGTACATGACTGTCTTACCTCTAGCTTTGACCTTGCAACTTTGCAAATGTAAAGGAGATAAACCATGTTAAATTCAGCATCTTAATGGAATTAACTCTTTGACATTGTGAGAAGCAACATGTTAAAAAGCACATTTGGGGGCCAGAGAGATAGCTCAGTAGAATAAGCGCTTGCCTGGCAAGCGTAAGGGTCTGAGTTCGATGCTCAGTTCTGAAAAAAAAGCACACTTGGATAAGGATAGATTGGGGAGGCTGCATCTTTAGAGACTAGCATACAGTACCCAACAAAGCTTCATTTTGAAGAGAACCCCATATTTCCCTCTATTCTGGTAAGTCTCTAACCCACATCACTAACCAGTATTCTTTTCACGCCATTCAAAAGACTCAGAGAAGCTAAGTCAATTTTGTATTCATTCTATTTAAAATAACCTTACTAGGAAGATCCTTTGTTTGTCCTCATGGTTGATCAAATGAGAAGGTACCTGACATATCACCTCCTGTCTCGCACAAACTGCTGACCCATCATGGCATTTCCCATCACTGCTTTCTAAAACAACACAGGAAATTTCAAGACTGGACAGCCAAAAGAAATTAGGATGAACTGGTCTCTAAAAACAGTTATTTAAAGAAAAACAAAATCATGCCTGAATGGGTAATTTATGATTCAGACAGACCAACATTTAATTGGTATTAACTACTCTACTAAAGCTCTATTAAATGCACTTAGGTAAGACTTTATTTCCATGAAATTGGATCTTTGGTTCAAAATCTAATCTCCTACGAAAGACTGCACTATAAGGATGATGTAATGGTAAGGTATGCTCTTAACATTTCATTGCCAGGAATATAAATGAAATTGATCGGATTATTTGCCCAATAATGTTTCTTCAGCAGGGCAAAGTCCTCCCCTAAATGGGCTGTCAAAGAAAGGAGCAAAAGGCATATAGTCATTTTCATGTTTTGTTTTGTTTTGGTTTTCTTTTTCTTTTTATTGTATTTAGTACAGGGTCTCACTATGCAGCTCAGACTCATAGTGATCCTCCTGTTTTCACTCTCCCAGTGCAGGGATTATAGGCGGATACCACAATGCCCAGTCTCAGTGGCCAGCTCAGCGCACCCAGAGACAGGGCCTGTGCGGCATGTGGTGCAGGGGATTGAACCCCAGTGCTTACCTAAACAGGCACTTAGTCCACTAAGCTATCTCGCTGGCCCCAAACAGTCAGTATTAAAGTTATATTTTCCATCTTAATCTTGTGGTACTCAAATTCAGCCATGAAAAGCAAATGGTATGAATGAAAAAGTGATTTGTCGTATAGCTTGGCAGTTTAAAAGAACTTTGGGTAGAGGAATAAGCAAAACCTAGGTGGTCAAATCTCTTGCAAATCAATACTGGCTAAAATGAAGGATAAAACAATACATGCCTTTGGAACTACGTAATATTCCTGCAGCACATTCTTACTATCATTTTAGGACATTAGTAATCATGGAAAAATGTTATAATCTTATGGAATATAAAACTCCTAATAAACATGCTTCCTCCATTCTTCTTGAATGTTTCCAAAACCATTGTGAAGGAGGAATGTCCCAAACAATAATCCTCTTTCCTAACCAAAGCTACTCTTATTTACTCCTAGTTCCAAATTACAAAAAGGCAGAACTAGTATTTGCTTAATTTCTAGAGTCATTGTGGTCAATGAATGACATATTCATAGATAAACAAATATGAAATGACACTTGTTAGCGCTTTCTAAAACTTTTAGCCTACTTGTATAAGTCATTGTATAAGTCAACAATAAGATGCATATAAAAAGATGCTAGTGAGCTTTTTCTGTCAAAGAAAAGAAAAAAATCAGACCATTCAAGGCTAACAAAAGAGACTGAGTTTATTTAACAAGTATTTACTGAGTTCTTCCTATGTGCCTGGCACTATTTAAATGTTGGAAATATATTATATTGATTAAAAACATATGAAGTCCCTGTTTTCATTGTGCTTATATGATAGAGGGAAAATACAAAACCATAAATGTAATAAATAAATAAATTACATATAAGTTAGAAGGTGATAAGCACTACTATTTTTTAAAAAGAAGTGAAACTATGAGAAGGCATGACAACATGGCTGATCTGAAAATTTTCCAAAACCATAAAAGGATAAAATAAAACTTCTTTATGGGAAACTATATTTCCATTCATGACAAAAGAAAACATTGCTGGCTTTTTAATGTTCGTAGGATTTTCAAGCAGGAAACTGAAGAGAGTTTAAAAATATGAAAGTGGAATTGAAAATCAGGAACAGAATCTTTCATAAAGTAGATGTTCACTCAGAGTACTTGAGGTGGTGAAGTTTGCCTATTGCAGTAGGAAAGCACAGTATAGAACCTCTCCCAAATCTAGAAAATTCCATGGTTCTGGCCTACTAATCACAGAGGATCTGAAGAATCAAGACAGCTGAGGAAAATCTGGTAGGGACAAACAATGCAGCAGAAGTCAAACAGTTTCGAAATTTTTTTTTTATTTCCATATCCTTTTTAAAACATAGCACCCTATTTTTGTCATTGTTGTTCTTGTTGTTGTTGTTAAAAAATGGTGAGCTCATTAAAAAGAAATACTGAAAAACTGGGAACACTCACATTTACAACTCTATCTTCTGTCTCAAATCTTTCTTGATACATACTTTCATTGTATATCAGCAGACCTGAATTTTTCCACACTGTCACCGGAGCGTAACACTAAACTATCAGGTAGTTTTCTGTCTTGTGATTTAAATTCAGATTCCAACAAAGCAACCAAAACAACTAAGATCTAATATTAGCCTCTCAGTAAGTACAGTCTCCTCATGAGAAGTGAATATGAAGAATAAGTGGTGGTGTCATTCTCAATTAGAAAATCATTTTCAGCAAAATGGGCTGAGAGCAGAAGTCCAAGTGGTGGGAAAGAAAAAAGGAGTGTCTACCCTGTAGAATGCTCATAACTTATCACTATGACAGCAGCCCTTTCTAGAGGTAATCATGTTATTAGGTTGTGGTAATGTTCCAGAAACCCCAACAGCCCCAGATTAACAACATCTGGAAATTGTTCAGATGACACAAATTTCAGCTTTCTGCTGTGCGGATTTCAGTAATTCCTCTCTCACCAATTTGGTTTTTTGGTTTGTTTTTTTTTTTTTTCCAAACTTCCTCCTTTCGCATCAGGAAGAATACATAAAGTGCAAGTAAGATTCACTCCTGCGCTCCTGGGCTCTTCCTTTGATAGCCGACATCACCAAATCGATCCTTAAACTGCTGACCAATGAAGTGTCTACAGGCATTTCTGGAGTTATCAAGTGAGTTCATGTCTGGCAAAGAGAGTGTCTGGAGGTCGGTGCAGTCCTGGCAAGAAAAGAAGAAGTACCACACACAAGACAGGGATGCAGAGCAGTAGGGAGTAAGCTGTGGTCACCGACGAGGCCATCTTTGGATCTCAACTCTGACAGAGAATTTAGCTGATACCAAAATGAAGGTGGCCAGCAGATTTCAGAGCACATTCAGTCTTCAGTGAGGGCAGATTCAGTTTTCCCTGGATGAGGACAGAAAAGAGAATGAAAATTGAGTCAAATCTGGTGAATTTCACGTCACAAATATAACACTCCAGTAAACAATTGTCATTTTATAAAGCAAATTACGCCACCTAACAGAGCTTCCCAGAAGCTCTTTGATGCTTAATTTGGTGTAGTCCAAGTGGGTCACAGGCTAGCCAATGTTACAAACATTTCTTCATGGCAAGAATTTTTTTTTTTTTTTTTTAAATGCTGGAGATTGTATCCAGGACCCTGCACACGCTGAGCAAGTGCTCTACCAATGAGCTACCACTGCAGCCACTTCTGCAAGACTTCTCAAAGTCTTACTTTAAATATGCTAATAAGCACTGTTACTGTTCAAGTGAAGGACACAGTAATCAGTATTTCCTACATTTTGGGGCCCAGAAATTTACCTTTTTATAAGCCAATTTGGCAGGATTAGTGTTTTAGTACAACATATTTGGGGAAATGCTGCCTTACCACAGTAGATGGAAAGTTCAGAGATGGAATTAAGTCATATTCAATTTATATTTGTGATGGTTAACTGACTGTGTCAAATGGTGTAAGAGACGCTCAGCTAAATCAGCTCAGCGATTCCACACCCGAGGGTGTGGAAGATGCACTCTAGAATGGCTCCTCGCCAGAACAGTATAAATGGGAAATGAAAAAGGACGGATCTGCTGCTCTTTCTTCACGGGAGGTCCTGTCATCACCTGCACTTTGGACATCATCTCCTGGCTTCCAGTGCACTCATCAGCTTCTGCTGCAGATCCATTAGTAGTGCAGCATAGACTTCAGCCTTCCACTGCAGACCCATTGTCCTCTTGATACAGACTTGCATAGGATGTTGAAGTGCGCTCCAGACTTTCAGCTGGATCCTTTCTCCAGTCTCCGTACCAGACACAGACCTTTTATACTTTTCCACATCCAACTCTTTGAGTGGCCAATCTTGTAAATTCTTATATAGTTGTGTATCTCTTATACAGTTGTATATCTTGTGTTATAGCCATCTCTCCAAAAAGCACTGACTGATATAACATTGCATAAGCCCTGGTTTTCAATTGAGAGTCACAAGCCCACACCAACACATTAAATCAGACATTATAGCTGATTTTTTGTATTTTCTTTGTAATGTGCCAAAACCCTGAACAAAGTTTAACATGTGACTAGTTAACACTAATGATTCCAGGTAATTATTTGCATCTATTAAAAACCATCACATAATTGGAGGGTATACAGAGGGGATGCTTTTTGTGTTCTTTTCTGCTTTTTCTAAGGGTCCTTGGGCCAAGGTTTCAAGATTAAATCCATCCGGATACCATCACACATGGAACTGAGCCACATCGGAGACTAAACAGAATATTACAAAATATATAAAGTCAAATAAAAGTTATGGATTAACTTAATCAAAAAAAAGTCACTGAAAGTATGAGATACATACTAGTTAAGTTCCTGAATTTCTTCTTGGCTTCTGCCCTTTCTTCAGCGTCAAAGTACCAAACAGTCATGGCATATCTATGAAAGATAAGCAGGTGTAAGAAACGATGAGTACCAAAAGAAAACCCAAGTTTACTGTAAGTTTCCCAAATGGCCATTCATAAAACCAATCTTTAAATGTTACCATTATGTGAAGTTCATGCTCAATTTTAATTTTTTTTCTTCATTTTTTTTCCAATTTTAATTTAAAATTGATTTCTCTGGTTTCAGTTCTGTTTACAATGAAATAAAGCACAAGAGGATTTCCCAATATGTGTCAGACATTATTTTGGGCACTGAGAATTCAAGTGATGCCTTCCACAAAACATCCTCAAGAACTTCAGGCTCTAGCACGAAGGACAGGTGACTGAACAGGTAGTGCAACATGTCAAAGTAGTCAATAGAGAAAAGACTGAAAGGGAGTCATCCTGCTAAGGCCTGAGAGACTCAAGGTGGTAGAGAGACAACAGAGAAAAGGAGCCAACATTTGAAGAATAACTTATTTACATCACAGAACCATTAAAACTCTTGGATTAGTCTCTTTAGTTTGGGATACGGCAGCAAGGATGCGATGAACATTAATACCCTTAAGCTCTCTACTGTTTTCCAATCTTCTTGATCTCATCCATGGGACAGACTGGAAAAGAGGACTTTTCATGCTGGTGGTTTTAAAAAGTTTCCTTTAATAATTATTATAGCCATAATGTTTTCTATATGAAACCCTCCCCTAAGGGTTTTCCAACCACATTTGCTAATGTTTTGCTGTGAAGTCACTCACTGTGGGGCTAGGAAATAACCAGAGATTTCTGCCACAGAGACCTTTATAGGGTGTCACTATGACGCCCAGTAAAGGAAGGCATAAGCAGACTTTAGTGGTAGATCTAGTTACCTGTTCATCTGGGAACATTCCAATTTGGGACTTAATATTTAACTCTGGGGCTCTGATGGGTGACTTCTGAAGGAGCATGTAGGTGAGTTTTAATTAAATTAGGTTTGTTAAGGTTTAATGATCATCCTACCAAAGCTCTGTGCCCTGGCCCTCAAGTGCTATACCCAGTACACGTTGTATTCTGCGTCACTCCACTACTACCTGATATAGAGCTTAGGCCATAAGACAAAGACAAGTAAGAGGCCAAACAAGAAGTTAATATTTTTATAAAGAACTCTTAGATTAATATTAACCAATACTAAATTACTCTGAAAATCTTTATATCTATGTTCTAAAAATTTTAATATCTAATGATTAAAACCTGAATACAACCAGCCCAAACCAATTTTAAGCTAATGAAAGGACAATGTTATAGCTTGTATCTAGATGTCCCCTCAAAGCCTCATGTGGTCATAGGTGGGCCTTTTGTGATGGCTGGAGCTAGGGATTTTGCTGCTGGGATCAAGGATGTGATTCTGGGATTGATTCAAAGGATGCTATGTTACGGGTGTGAGTGCCAGCCACCCTAAGGGTGGGTAGCCTGGGTAAGACAGAAGGGACAGAAAGAGCTATGGTCATCTCTGACCACTTGGTGCTTACTGTTGCTACCGCTCGTTTTCTGCTCTGCAATGTCCCTGAGCCATGCTACCCTGCCTTGGAGCCTGCTGATTATGGACTGAAAGCGCTAAAAACTGTCACCTGAAATAAACCTTTCCTCCCTCAGCTTTGAAGGTCAAGTATTTGGTCCAGCAACAATACAAGTAACTAAGACAGGTAAATAAGAAAAAAAAAAAAAAAAAGATTCAGGTAAGTTACTCTTCCTTCTCTCAGAGTTCTTTATCTGCTTACAGCTGGCACCTTATTAATTCATCTGACAAAGAAACCACACAGAGCTCCTGATATGTGATAGCTAACCATCTCTTGAGGTAGTTTAACATTAGATTTTTTAAAAAAAAAAAAAAAAAAAAAAGGGGGGGGAAAAAAAGAAAAAAAAAAAAAAAAACCCAAATCTCCACCTCAATAAGCTCACTTCGCAGAAAATAATTTGCTAATAATTATTTTAAACCGAAGTTAGATATACAAACTAAAATATCTGAGGGTCCCCTTTATATTTTGTCATTCCATACAAGTCATCTATCACCTTTAGGATGTGGTCAGTCCCCCACACAGGACAAGAGTTTAGGGTTCTCTGAGAGTTGGGTTTGTACAACAAGCTCCCAAAGAGCACCCATGACCCGTGCTATTACCTGGTTGCATAGGAAGGCTGCACTTCGTGTGGGTTCCTGCGATCTGACCAGAAGAATAACAGTCTGTCAAAAATGGGCTCCACATCTGCAATGAATGATTTCCCTTCTGGAAATATCCGCAGGACCCCACCATGCAGCTGAGGACCACAAAGAAGGTAGATTATTTCCTAGCTTCAGTCTGTCAACAAGGACACTTTGGAGGCATCTAGAAACAATACCACCTCGTTACCTCCCCTCCAAATGTGCTTTACCTCCAAATCTTTACTTCATTCTCATACTTTTTACCCAATTTTCTTTCAAACTTAACTGGACATACCTCTTTATTCAACCTATCAAAGCCTTCCCATTTCCACAATTATGAAGCCACAGACACAAAAGAGTGCTATTTGTCTACAACCACTATGTGGGTTTGATCTACAAAAAAAAAGACTAGCAATTTTATATCGTGACAATTTGTGTGGCAATTTTATGTGTGGCCATTTTATATGGTTGTACTTAATATTAACAGCTTCCTATTGTACTTATCATATATAACTTCCCCTTCAATTAGAATTTATAGCTTTCTTCTAAACACTCCTATCTGACCTTGTTAGTTGAATGTTATATGCTATTTTTCTAATCTCTCAGACCACCATATCTGTACCTTTTATGATTCTCTTAACTTACTCTATACATAATGTAATATAATATAAAATGTAATATGTACATGTATGTAATACCCAATCTGTCCTACTAAAATATCCAAGCTGTCCTACTACAATAGCCAATTCTGAGTCAAATTCAGTCCTTATACATCCAACATTTCCCCACAGTTCAATGCCTGACACTAAAAGGAACTCAAATATTTGTTGATTTCATACTTTGCAATTTACTGTTACTGATCTGATAACTTTGCCCATTATAGCACCCCTAAGGATTTTAAAAAACTAATGGGTGCATTCTAGTCATGTTACCAAACTACAAGAGATAAGCCTTTCCACTGATTCTTTGGTTTCCCAGGTCTCATTTTCTGACCCCAGATAAAATATCATTGCTTTATGACAGCCAGAGTCTGCCTTAATGAACAGGAAATGGAGATAGAGAAGGTTCAAAAGCCAAATAAGCTTGAAAAGTTCTCTGACTTCCCAGACTCTTAAATCATTCTTAACTTTCAGAGAGCATACAAAGTCCAGACAAATGTTTATTAGTGTGGAACCAGACTTTATATCTCTATCTATATGCTTTATAATACGAAAATAAGCCACAAAGCCTTTGGCATTCACAAACCATAGTAAGCCATGGCAAGCAGCCACCAATGAGATGTATCACCCTGAGAAAGAGGACTGTGGGAAATCTTTCTGGGAGATGGCTTTATATCCTACAGTTCTATTTTTATGGCATTCTCTTCAATGCTGCTGCTGGGAGACGTGTACATCCTATTCTGCACTGACAGTCATATTGACCCTGAATTAGACTAAAAAAAGCTGATCATAATCCTAATACTAAATTACCTTCCATTCATCAATACTCCCACCACACACCCTAATGATCACCCTACCTACCCACCTCTAAATTAACACCATATCCATTATTTTTTATCTCATCAACTTTATTACTAATTCTATAGGCAAGGGGGAGGGAAAAATATAGAAACAGAAAAGATTTATCAAGGGAGGCAAGGCTATTAGGAACTCTCAACTCTCCCCTAGGTTATCTGAATTATTTTCATAGTTGGGAGTTACACATTCTTTTTTCTGAACTCTCAGGCCACCTTATCTGCACCTTGTGTGACATAATCCCATATATACCCTCATTCTTTCGAAGTACCTTGGCATCCCAGTTCTTGTTCAGATAGTAGATGCAGGTGATACAGCGCCCATCACCATTAGGGTTGTCCACATGGCGAACATAACCTGTTCCATTGCCCGGATAGCAGGCCACCATTGCCTACAGAGAGAGGACAGGAAAGCTGGTTAACAAAGCTAATACAGTCTTCACCTCCTACCAATGGCTGAAAAGAAAAGAAGTCTTTTTGGGGTGCTATGGGATATTTACATACCTGTTGGCTTCATAATTACATGTATGGTACATAAATTTAGACTAAGACTATTAAAACAAGAGTCATATGCATTAAAGTTTAAAGACAGGTCATTCCCTGTGGTTTAGCACAGTGGAAAATAGTTCAGTATTCCCATAGTTCTAGAACATTTTATTTATTTATTTGCAGAACGGGGATTGAACTCAGGCCCTTGTGTTTGCCAAGGAAGTGCTTATTTCACTGAGCCATCTCCCTGGCCCCTCTAGAACATGTTAGACATTTTCTTAAAGTATTAAGATGCTCTGCCTTTCTTTGTCTGTTTTTAAAGCAGTACTGAAGACCAAACCCAAGGTGTTTGCACTGAGCTAAATGTCTAAAACTTTTTTTTTTTTTTTTTTTTTGAGACAGGGTCTTGTTAAGTCACTAAGTTGCCCATGCTGGGAAAACTTGCAACCTCCTACCTCAGCCTCCCAGAGTGCTGGAACTACTGGCTTGTGCCCCACTCCCAACATCTTTCTTTAATACTCCTTTTGGAAAAGCATTTACTGAGTTTCTATCATAGAACTACAAAATCAGAATCACTAGGCATTGCACTTAGGATGATGCCTGTTTAGAAGCGTCCGGCAGTGCGGAATCGTGCTGTCTTGTTTACACAGAGACAGATGCAATCACAAAGGCAGGAAAGGTCAGGCTTATCCAATAAAACACACAGGGCAGAAGGCAGAGGGCAGAGTCGATCAGAAACCATGCTCTAATGTGACAGTGCAGACAACATAGGAGATTCCTTTCAAGAAAAAAACTACACAGGTATCTCAATAGGTGTTCCTTAGTTCTTTTCTTCCTCCTGCTTGCTAATTATCAAGTCACATGATAGCCTGAAGTTCTCTCTTCCTTTGTCTCTACCTGCGACCTGGACCTGCATCAACCAGGTAGCAGAATAAAGCAGAAAGCCATTTTAAGTCTCATCGAAAACTGCCATTTGATAGTTATGATTAGTAGACCATAAACAAACATCTAATTGATCTATGGAAAAATTATAACAGAAAGTAAAAAAAAGAGGGGGGGTGCTTTGCAGGCTAGAACAGTCGTTTAAAGCTCCGCATGGGCAAATGCAGTCAGGCGCATGAGACCGTGGTTCGATTCCCAGCTCCAGAAGCTGCATCAGATCTGGCCTTAAGGCAGCCTGAAGTAGAAAAAAAAAAAAAAAAAAAAAAACACCTTCTTCTCAAATCTTAGGGCTAGCCAAATAGCTCAGCAGATTAAAGTACTTGCAAGCAGGCACAAGGGTCCGGGGTTCAATCTCCAGGCCTGCCGTGCCAGCCCTACCATCAGAGGCACATTGAGATGGCAATTGAGACTGGGCATGGTGGTATACTCCTGTAATCCCAGCTCCTGGGAGGCTGTAAACATGTGGATCACTACAAGTCTGATCTAGTAGTGAGACCCTGTAGACCCTTCACTAAAATAAAAAAAAAAATTTAAAAAGCCAAAATGCAAAAAGCTTTTTTCTTCTCTTTACAGCACACAGCTACATTAAAAAATTTTTTTTTGTTTTAGGGATTCTTCCGTGTCCAAAGAAGATACTAGAATTAGTAACATCAAATGAGGGCAGGAAATATTTTGCCTGTTCTGGTCACTGACTTTTTTTTTTTTAATTTTCTGTATTTGGTACAGTGTCTCATTATCCAGCTCAGATTCATAGTGATCCTCCTGTTTTCAGCCTTCCCAGCGCAGGGATTACAGGCCTGCGCCACCACACCTGGACTCAGTCACCCAGCTCAGCATGCCTGGGGGGCAGGGCTGACATAGCATTTGGAACAGCGGGATCGAACCCTGGACCCTGCACTTGCAAAAGCGGGCACTTAGTCCATTGACCTATCTTTTTTTTTTTTTTTTTTTTTTTTTTGGCGGAACTGGGAATTGAACTCAGACCCTTGTGCTTGCCAGGCAAGCGCTTATTCTACTGAGCCATATCCCCGGCTCCTCCACTCACCTATCTTGCCAGCCCCCTCACTGACGTATTCTTAATACATAGGACAGTGTCTGACTCATAGAGGTGTCTATTGAAAGTGTGATAAATAAATCAATGAATTAGTGAATGGCTCTTTCTCTAAAAAGTCAGTTCTCAATCTACATAGATCAATAGCTTTTTCTGCCATTTAAAAACAAAATCTATCTTTAAGCACACACAGGGGAGTCAAGGTTGTACTACTTCCTGATGGAAAGGGTTGCTTCATTGCTAAAATGACCAGTTGGGTACAGCCCCAAACTAATGCACTAATAGTTCAATGAATCAGCCTTCGTGTGGCTGTTATCACTCTCAGCAGTCTCCTGAAAGCATGGAACTGGGCTCACGCTAGAAGAAGGTGGAATAATCATAATGTTTTTATCACTGTATTTCTCAGCACTTTACCTTGAAATTGTCACTGCAGTGTCATTCCTTAGAATGTAGTGTAAACATTTCTGAAGGTGGAATTTTGCGGAAACTGCAATAAAGTTTTAAAAGCTGATGGTACCAATAAGCAGAACATGGGCTTGGGAAGGAGGGATTAGGAAGCAGATAGAAATGATGGGCCTACTATCAGAGATGATGAGGAGAAAAATGAAGTCACCTGTAACGAGTAAGGAATACCTACTACATCCCTAGAAGGAGCTAGGTTTATAAGTCACCACTATGCCAGTAATGAAAGTCACTCAGGCCACAAACTACTAGCTAGATTCCCCACTATCTCAGCTTCCTCCAAGTACTGGCATCTGGAAAGAAAAATATCCCATCAACACGATAATAAACTCCTAAGCAACTCTACAGAAAAGATCAGTGGACTGTATGCCTGCGATCTATACTCTACAACTAACTGTGTGATCCCAGGCTCAGTTTCTTAGTTTCTTCCTCATAAAGAGGGCTGGGTTTCATGGCCTCCAACATCCAAGAGGGCCTAACAGTTAACTTAAGCATCAACCCCAGAAAAGTAGCAGGTTCTTCAGGGAATTCTGAACTACATATTCACCTCAGAATTCATCTTACATCTTAGATTACCATACCAAAAAAAGAAAAAAAATTCATACAAGTACATCTTGCGTTTGTTTAAAATGGATAAAGATCTAGCACAATTCTAACAGACTTACTATTAGGACAAAACTCCTCAATGTAAGTAAAGTATCTGGTTGCTTAAGAGAAAGGAAGAGATCCTCTTTCTTAACATTCACACTCTCTCCTAGTTGCAGAAGACACAGGCATCAAGTTTAAAACAACGGAAGGAAACCACCGTGAGCTTCGGTGGGCCTGTTGAAACTACACTGGCCAATGGCAACAGTGAGTTTTCTGAATGAATGCCACACGATGTGATGGGTATTGGCGTGGGCACATTCCCGACTGTTTGCTAATCTTTAGCAAGGTCTAAAATTACAAGGCTAAGGATCCATGGAGAAGCAAACCTCACTTAATAAACAACTAGCCATTCACTTTTGTGCCAATTTGTGCATGGGGCAGTAACAAACTCAGGAAATTGATCATTTCAACAGAGCTGCTATCTAAGCCTCATCAAGCCTAGGAAGAATTTAATGGAAGAAAATACTTCACCGCTTTATTGTTAAGAGCAGAGATAGAGTATTTATGCAACAAACATGCCAAGCAATAACAATAACACATATTGGGACGATGTCTCCTTTATTATAGGCTTTTCATTTACTAAAACTTCCGGACTGGATTAATATGTGAAATTCACAAGTTTAATAACATATCAGTGTCTCCCACAGTAGCACACACCATGCAGTCCTGTGGTTCTATTCCTGGATGTGTGGATGGATCCACATGGTACCTGTACATCACCATTCCTTCTCCTTATTCCTTCCCCCTCCTCAGAGGTCTCTGCATAGCTCTGCAGCCACAGGAAATGAGAGGAAGGGCTAACCAGGTGTCCCGGGGCTGGCTCCAGACCAAAAATACGTGCTCTAGACCCACCTATACAGCTGCATTCAAGCCGGAAATGTGTGTATCGTTTGAAATGTCCACAGACATACAGAACAGTAACAGCCAAATCCAAGTAGCAAAATCTGCTCCCCAAAAGTCACTGGTAGGATAGAAAAATGATTCTGTTAGAGCTGTCAGTGAGCTGACTATATAACAAGACTATATCTCATCAAATTCAAAAGTAAAGTTGAAAAATAAAAGTCTAGGACTTTCATTCCAGTGGTTAGGCAAAATGTTCCTGAATGCAACCAACTACAATTTGATTGTATGTATGTGCAAACCATTTCTCAAGATTGGAATCAGCAACCTTTCCTGTCCATGCAGCCATGGTGATCATTTTTCAGACCCACAGGCTGGAAGAGTACATCCACCCTCTCCTTAGATTTACTACTTTTCTACTAAATCATACCAGAGACTGGGCATGTAGCTAGTAACAGAGCACTAACCTAGCACACATAGAAGGTCCTGGGTCTGAGCCACAGGCACACCAAAAATGGAAAATGTTAGATCATGATGCCTGTGGAAGTGAATTTTACATTGCTTATGACTGGAATGCGATTCACTAGTATGAGCTGGTCTTGAACAAGTTCAGTAAACTGGCATTTATGCAAATCTTAACTTGGCAAATTAAAATATTAATCATTTCACTTCACAAAATTTGCAATAAATGAAAATCCCTTGTTTAAGAACTGATCAGTAGCATAACTTCAAAGCTACCTGACTGAATGAACTTTAAACTAGAATTTAATTCCCTAACAAATGTTAGATGCCTCTAGCTACTAATGAGAAATAGCAGCAGGCTTTTTAATGATTTGTTTTGAGTTTAAGAATGGTCTTGTAGAGGGGTGGGGAGATAGCTCGGCAGTCTAAGCACCTGCCTGGCAAGCACAAGGACCTGGGTTTGATACCATGATACCACACGTTGTGCTGGCCCTGGAA